ACCTCCCATATCGAGAGAATGGCCAGCAAATCATCCACCAGCAGTGACCACAGCAGAGGGGAGAGGACTCCCCCCTGCGGGCAGCCCCTGGCTGGCTTGAAGCTGACACTTTCCCCCTGTAGGGAGGTCGTTATGGTTCTGCTATGAAGCATAGTTCTTATCCAGTCACATAGTATTGGTTCAATTCCCCTGGAGGCAGTAGCCTCATAGAGGGAATGAGGTAGTGCATTGTTGAATGCTCCTTCTATGTCCAGGAATGCTGCGACTGCTATCTCCTGTTGTTCCAGGGCGTCGTTTATTCCTGAGACCAGGTTATTGAGGGCAAGTTCTGTTGATTTGCCAGCTTGGTAGGCATACTGGTGAACATTAAGGGGGTGTTTTGTTAGTACACCGCACCTCATGTGTCCATCCAGTATTTTCTCCATGCTTTTCAACAGAAAGGATGTCAGACTAATGGGTCTGAGCGATTTAGGGTGTGGGTCAGTCCGACCCATCTTCGGAATGTAGATCACCCTAGTCGCAGTCCAGTTGGGTGGAATGTAGTTCCAGGCTAAACTGGCTCTGAAGAGTCTTGTGAGTATAGGTACAATAAGTTCCAGTCCGATTTGTAACAGAACTGGAGCTATGCCATCCTCTCCTGGCGATTTGTATGGGTGGAACGAGTTAACCGCCCATCTTATCGCTTGTGGTGTGATTATTTTGTTGGCAGCCATCCAGTCACCTCTGCCCGGTCGTTTTGTTCGGCCTGCGTTTGTGACTGGGGGTCGTTTGTCCAGAATCAGGCTACCTGGGAAGTGGTTATTAGCTAATAGCTCTAGTGTTTCTTTCCTGGAGGCCGTAAAGGAGCCGTCTGGACGTTTAAGCGATCCCAGCTCCTGTGTCGGCTCTCTGGATAGAATCTTGTGGATACGAGCTCCGCTTGATGTGCTGGACACATTTTCACAGAATCGTTCCCATGATTCTCTTTTTGCTTTCCGGATATTTTTGTTATATGTGGTTAGAGCAACCCTGTAGTTTTCCCATTCACCTGATTCTTTAGCTCGGTTGAATAGTCTTCGAACTTCTTTTCGTGATTTATCCAGATTTTTGTTCCACCAAGAAGCATTTCGGTTATCCTTTTTCTCCCTTAGTGGACAGTTTTCGTGATATGCTGAGATAAGTGCGGTTTGCAGATGTTCCGCAGCAATATCTATTTGTTCACGACTATGTGTTGTGGTCAGTCCGTTTTGGAGATGGTTCTTCAGGGAGGTTTTGTATCCTTCCCTGTCCAAGCTCCGTATGTCTCGGTATTGTACCACTGGCCTGGGGCCTATTTCAATGTTGAATTGAATGTGTCTATGATCTGAGCATGATGGTTCAGAGGATACCCTCCAATTGGATATCTTATTGCTTAGAAATTCTGAGCTGATTGTTAAATCTAGTACCTCTTTCCTAATACTATTGATGAAGGTTGGCTCAGAGCCCACATTGTTAACTGTGAGCTCCTCCCCCATCAAGTAATTAAAAAGAGACTCACCCCTCGTGTTGATGTTTGTGCTGCCCCACGCTATATGGTGTGCATTGGCGTCACATCCTATCACCAGATGGGTGTTGTTCCTCCGGCTGAAGGCAATTAGTTCTCGCACGGCCGCTGGAGGAGGTTGTTCTGCCCCTGCGTCTCCAGGAAAGTATGCTGAGCAGACGATGAGTTCCGTCATACTCCCTCTCTCTGGAAACTTCACATGGATAGTTGCCATGTCTTGGGTGCAGAAATCTGAAAGAATAAAATAGTTAATGTTGCTTCTGGCTAGGATACATGCCCTGGGTCTTACCCCAGAGCTGACTGCAATTACCTTACCAGATGTATTACTCAGGCCGGTAATTCGGCCTGTGTTGGATGTCCAGGGTTCCTGGATGAGGGCCAGATCTATCCGCTCCTCAATGAATTTTTTGCCAAGGACGTAGGTGGCGGCCTTGGCATGTTGCAGGTTACCCTGCAAGAGCCTGACTGACGTGTCAGCCAGTTCCTTCCTTGCCTTCTTTAGGCGGTCCTCCCCCGCCTTCCCCAGAGGGCGGTTTGCTCCCCTTCCCTCTGGAGGTGCCGGCACTCTTGACGAGTGGTGGTCTATTCGGGATGGATTTTCCCTTTCCCGAGACCCTCCTCATAGGCTGTTTGGTCTGGGGGGCACTTTTCGGGAAGGATCGGCCTTTCCCTTGCGGTGCTCCCTTTGCGACCGACTTTGGAGGAGTGCTTTCCTTCTCCCCCTCTTGCTGCGTTCGGGAAGGTTCTTTCCCTCCACGACCGCCTTTCAGACGGAACTGAATTCGTCCGAAACCGAAGTAGGGCTTGAATTCCAGCTTCTCCAAAGTTGTTTTGGACATTTCGTCTACGGCGAATGTCCAAGTTTGCCCACGGCCCGAGTCCTCTCGGTTTAGTATGACCCAATCCTGAGTGGTCAGATCGTGGTTCATTTTCCTCAATCTCGTGAGCACCGTCTCGGCCGAGAGCCGTTCACCGGCATCATCGTCCGGGATGTATGCCACACAGATGTGAGGTTTTGGAAGGTCCTGCTCTTTGACGAATTGCATTTTCGTCCCTTCCCATGGTTGGAGTTGCTTTGATGCCTCCTCCAGCCAGTTGGCACTGATGCTGTCCGCGCAGGTAATTTGCAACCATCCAGGCCGAAGAGTACAGCTCTGGAACCTCACCTGCGGGCCATCATCAGGTATTAGGCCTACAGCTTCCATGATGGCTCGCTGAAGGACCTTCAATTGTTCGCCCGTTAGGGCTGCGGTAGGATAGTCAGGGTGGATTAGGCCGACCCTGGTGCCCCCAGCCACAGCCCCGTACGAGGGTTTGGTAGCCCCCGGACAGGCTTTCTTTGCCGTGTGTTCCGGCGTGCTGTCGTCAGATCTCATACGTTTGCTTACTCCAGCAACTACGGACTGGGATCTACCCCCTTCCGGTTGCTGTTTTGGCTTGTCGAGATCTTTGAGTGCTTGCTCTAAGGCAGTATCGTAAGCCATCCCGCTCTTGAGCAAGCGACTCAGCACTTTTCTTCTCGACCCTGGAAGTCGAGTACGTTTCAGTTTGAGGCTATCCAGTGCCCTGGTTGTCTCATCCTGATCTGATTCAGTCGGTATTGGGGACTTTAGCAGTTCCCTTTCCTGATCTGAAGTCAGTTCATGATGGTAGTCACTGTTGAGAATGAAAAACAGTGAACCCTAATTATTTTCGTGTATTTGTAGAATTAAAGTGATTAAAACTATCAGAACCATGTAAGGTGGGTCTCTTGAATTTGCGTGTATTTCACAAATAGTAGTATAGTGGTGTGCTATAGTAGAACTAGTAGAACGAATACCTACCTAGTTGAATCCGACAAGACGATGGGATGTCAGATTATTACGTCATCCTACTGTCATTATTACTATCATTACCCGATTCATCACAGTTATGTCTGTCATTATTCATTGATTGTCATCTCAGATGGGATGTTCATATAAAGTTTGTGATAAAGAAGATCAGATTTTTATTTCACAAATTCAAGTTTTTCTCAAAAATTCTGAAAATACAGCATCTGAAGACGCTATATCACACATTAATAGAACCCCACTTAACATATGGTCTCATATGTTGGGGAGGAGCTACTGATAACTATATGGAAAAACTGCAAGTCGCACAAAAATTCATTCTGAAGATAATGTATAAAAAACCATTAACTTACCCGACTGATGGCCTCTATAAAGAAACAATGATCTTTGATATGCGCCAGTTATTCTGTCAATCCTTACTGATTAGACAGTATAAAAATAGACATGAGCTTAATAGAATCGAACATGAACACAATACAAGACATAGAATGAATTCAGTGAGATTACCAAGGATCAACAAGAGCATGGCACAGAGATCATTTACTTACCTATGCCCAAAAATATTCAATCTAATACCAAACTCAATTAAAGAAATCAATTCCTTTGCAATGTATAAAAATAAAATAAGAAAATGGATTAAGGAAAAACCACGGCTTGAGATTCATCAGTTCATCAATTCTCAAATCATTCTCCTCCAATGAAAAATTTTGAATTTTTTTTTCTGTTCACACATTGGATATGAAATATCAACTCATCGTTATTGCATAATTTTTTTTTGTCGCACTCTTATAGTAGCCAAATGTATAGGAACCTTTAGTAGAAAAATTAGACTAAGCTGTACAAGACATAGTCTTTTTTGTGAATGCTGATTTTCTACCAGAGATGCTTCTTCACTACGGTATACCTATAAAAAAGTGTTATAGTTATATTGTTAATGTTTAATGTTTACTCAAACCTCCCCACGCACAGCACTACTTGCTTTGTGGGTGTATCTAGTTTATTTACTTATCCTGTTGTTGTAAATACCATGTCGTTATTTGAATCGCTTGGGTAAATAAATATTATTATTATTATTATTATTATTAAACGTTGAAAATCGAGTTAGCAATGTATGAATGACGCCATAGTTGTAGATAAATATCATTATATGAGACGCGTCGGGAGACAATACAACATCGAGCTAGAAACTGATACTTTTTCTCCTTTTCTTTATATTCTGGTTTTCACGAAAAAGGATGACCTGTAATGTTCAGAGAACATCGTGAGAGCCAAGGTGTGAGAACCAAGGAAAATTAGGTAGGAATTGGTGTTCTTCTCGAATTTCTGGAGGTTGTATGCCTCGTGAAACACCTTCCTTGCCAATGTGTTTCAGAGCCTCGCTGTTCGTTGGATGAACGAGTCTCCGGAAAGAGATATTCTGCAGGTCTCTGAAGTGACCACGAAGGGGTGCGAAGCCTCAACTCGACGGGTTGATCACGCAGAGACTGCCAAGGGAGGAACAATTGTTGATATTTCAGAGGAGCATTGTCCATGAAAATATCTATCAACTAGAGCCTCGCATAACAAATAATAATGTTCCTATTGTTCCAGGTCCGTACGTGCTGGCGTGGAAGAAGGGCATCGCCATCCTGTCGGCGGGCAACGTGAAGGTGTCGCCCGACCCGCGTGTCAACCTCGTGCACGGCTACAGCCTGGAGATCAGGGAGGCTGGACCGCAGGACGCCGGCGACTACGTATGCCAGATAGCAACGCTCGAGCCCAGGGAAATCACCCATACCGTCGAGATTCTAGGTGAGGACTAAAACAGTGTATCTTGTAAGAAAGAGGAATCTCATTGACTCATTCCCAATGAGAAAACGATATCACGTTCTTAGACCTGATAGAGACGCTTGAGCCCAGGAAGTTCACTCAAACCGTCGGGATACTAGGTGAGAATGATGAGCTCAGGAAGATTATGGATACATTCTATAAGCTAGAGGAGAACTAATATACAGGGTGTCCCGAAATTAGCCTGCCAAACTTCACCAGCGGCTCCTCTGGCCAAAAATAGGGAGAAAAACTCCAATGAACATGAGTCGAGAAATGTTTCCTGAGGAAGCTACGCCCCCCTGAAAGGGGGCTCCTGAAGATGATATTTCTTGAATATTTCCGAAACGCCACATGATGAAATGATGCAAATTGGTACAAGACCTAAACTTTCTATGCCCAATGCGGTGAACATAAAATCATTCCATAGTTCCATTCAGGAGTGTATAATACAGGGTGGGACTACATTAAATATTGCTCAAACTTTTTCGTATGCAAATTTTCTGACAATTGAATCTCGGATTATAAAAATTCACACCGTTTCACGATAAGAGGTGCTTTTGTTCCGCATCGATCAGATGTACCATTCTCGAGTGGAATCGATTTAAAGATATTGATGCACTCACATATTATGCGTAACGTTGCCAATTTTCAAATCATAGCGGCTATAAAAAAATTGAGTACTATCTTTTTACCAAACAATCTCACAATAGCGCGGAAAATTGAAGACTTATTATGGAAAGACTACGTCAATTTTCGGGCATTTCTATCTATTTCCACTACGCCTCATTGCAATGTTATGCATAATATCTGAGATGTAACAATATTTCCAGATGGCTTTTACTCCATAATGATACATCTGATCGTCACAAAATAAAAGTACCTTTCGTCTGTTAAGATGTGTGGAATTTCATAATCCGAGATCAAATTGTCGAAAATATGCATCAAAAAAATTTTGAGCAATATTTGATGTAGTCCGACCCTGTATTATACACTCCTGATTGAAATTTTGAAAGGATTTCAGTTTCTCTATATTGGGCATGGAAATGTGAGTTCTTTTACCAAATTGCATCTTTTTATCACATGGAGTTTCGGAAATACTCAAGAAATATCACCTTCAGGAGCCTCCTTTCAGGGGGCCGTAGCTCTGAGGAGACATTCCTCGACTCATGTTCATTGGAAGCTTCCTTTTTATCCTTGGTAGTAAAAGCCGCTAGTAAAGTTTGACAGGCTAATTTCGGGACACCCTGTATAATAACTAGTCAGTAGGAGAGATTCCATAAATATGCGTATTTCCAAAGCGGGAAAGATATCTCTTTCCTAGACCTAAAAGTGACGCTTGCGCCGAGAGACATCACTCATACTATCGAGATACTATACTATAGGCGAGAACTTGGTTTTCGCCTAGTAGTAACAGTTGCGGAAAAGATTTTATATTATTAGACCTAATAGCGACGCCCTAGTCATGGGAGATCACGCATACCGTCGAGATACTAGGTGGAGACTATAATAGTGTATCTAGTTAGGAAGAGAGATTCCTTTTGCTCATTTTCAATGAGGAAACGATCTCCGTTGAGAACAAGGAGTTCACTCGAACCGTCGAGATACTTGATGAGAATGATGAGCTCAGAGAAAATATATGAACACCGTCTTGATGCTAGGTGAGATCTAATATGTAGGTACCAATTAGAAGGAGAGATTCCTCCTGCTCATTTCCAGAGCGGCACATATATCACTTCATGAGACCTAATAGTGACGCTTGCACTCATAGTATAGAGATAACCAGATTCCTCCTACACCAAGATTCTGACCATTCGAAACGATAGATTTTTCTGAATTACATTCCTAATTAGAATTGAATGATAAATTGCTGTAGGAACAAGTTGCCGATTCAGATATCAGGAAATCCAAAATATGAAAGATAGATTATTCAGAACCAAGTGTCAACATACATTAGGTAAATCAAGAAACTAATTTGATCGTAATCTGTGCAACATAAGTATAAAAAATTCAAAAAAAAAATCACGATTCAATGAAACAATCTGATTGAATTATTAAGAGAACCATGTAGAAACATATTTGACTGTCAATGGGATTTATCTGAATTGCGGGCACTTCATTGTCAGTTACGAACATTCTAGTAGATGCCGGAGACTATGTGAGCCAGTTAGCGACGCTCGAGCTAGGGGAGATCACGCACACCATCGAGATACTGAATGAGGAATCGTATTTTCACTAGAGACTGACTAGTTAGAAATGGTGATTTCTTCTGCTCATCACCAATGCGGAAAATATATGACGTTCTCAGACCTGATAGTGACGCATTAGCCCAGGTCGATCATTCATGTCATCGAGATACAGTCGCATTCAAATAAAAAGCGTACAAGTATAATACATAGAGAAATTAACGTCATCCTATTTTGCATAAAACGGGCTAACGGAAATGATTGTTTACCAAATGTTGACAGTAAAGTTGTCATAGGTTCTCGTAAGCACAAAGCATTGGCTGAGCCAGTTCTACACAACTTGAACTAGGATCCCGAAATCCTCTCTTTTTGATACTTGTACGCTTTTTTATTGAATAGGACTGTACTATGTGACGACTTGGGTTTTCACTATAGAGTAACTAGTTGGGAAGGGAGATTCCTTCTGCTCATTTCCAACGTGGAGAAGATCTCACGTTCTCAGACCTGATATAGAGACGCTTGAGCCCAGGGAGATCACTGATACCATAGAGATATTAGGTGAGGACTTGCGTTTTCCCTTGAGAGTAACTAGTTAAAAATAAAGATGCTGTTTGCTCATTTCCAATGCGGAAAATGTTATAGTATATCACGTAATATGTGTTGTAAGAAACATATTACGCACGAATATGAAAGTTACACACGCAGCCGTGGAGCGGCAAGTGCGTAATTCCATGAGTGCGTAATTGCTTTACAACACGCATTACGTACTATACTCCACCTACGGCCACTATAGAAAGTAGGCTAGAACACACGAGGTACAGCCTCAACGCACAGTAGGCAGTCATAATCGCGTAATCGCTGTCAACAGCAGATGACATAACTGTCAAAAATTGAAATTCAGACTGTTTGTCCAAATTTTTCTGATGTACTATATGGCAGTAGGTGAATAATATCACGTTCTTAGACCTGATAATGACGCTTGAACCCAGATAGATCACTCATACCGTCGAGATACTAGGTGAGGACTTGGGTTTTCACTATATAGTAACTAGTTAGAAAGGAGGGTTCATTTTGCTCATTTCCAAAGTGGAGAAGATATCACGTTCTTAGACCTGATATAGTATGACGCCTGACCACCCTCTGATCAAAATAACAAATCGCTCTGCAACCTGTTACCACTCTCTGATCAGGATGACAAATTGCTCTTCGACCTGTTACCACTCCTTGATTGAAATAACAAATTGCTCTTCAACCTGTTACTACTCTCTGATCAAATTAACGTATTGGAATGGTGGCCAAATTTTCTGCCACTTAGGTTATATCTTCCACAAGTTTATCAGATCGACTTTGCCATCGTTAATCCCAACTTTGATTTTGATTTCCGAAGAGACACTGCGCTGAAAAATATTCCACTATAAGAAACCTGAGAGAAAAAATATTGAGCGTAAATTATCGGTAGGTATAATGGGAAACATGATGTTTGAACTAATTTTTGTTACGCTGGACATTTTTGGGAAGAACTTGCTTCTATTTCATACATAAAAACAGAAGTAATCAATCCCAGTATCATCAGTAACATCAAACTTTCCTTCTTGAAACATTTTCAAACGCGTCACAGACTATAAGTAAGGAGTTCTCCCTATGAGGTTCATGCTGATTGAATTTCCCAAAAACAGTGGAACAAGGAGGTGAGAACCACAAAAAATATAGAAGAATGAACATTTCACCTAATCGATCAACCCACAGACAATGTTTTTGTCTCATCTACGTCTTCCTAATGATAGTTAAGTAGGCATGGTCCTTCAACTGATCTTCATTCCATGTGATAGATTTCTCTTTCTATGAATTATCTTGAACGAAGAGTGAATATTTGGGAGTATCTTGGAGTTAGTTGCAGAAGTATCGCAATAATACCCTAAGTTCTAACCTAATACTTCAACAACTTGGAATTCGAGTTGTATTTATTGTTAAGCATGCGAAGAGGGCACAGCTGCTGAAAACGCAAACTGTTGGTTTCAACTAATGAACTGCACATTGCAATATAAGACGGAAGTTCTCCGGAAATTGAAAATTAAGACTTCCATTATAACAATCCCATCAGCTATTGCCTGCAGTTCACATGTTCCAATTAATGAGTCAGTAGAGCGATTGCATATCTGAAATAGTTTCAGTCGATAGTGGAATTCATTTCAGTTTGAAATATCGATTGTGTATGCTAGAAGAATAACCTAGAGGAATGGGAATCTAGCCGGGACCATTGCAGTCAGTAAATCCATTCAAGATTCTGAAATAGCTCATCAGACGGATACGTTTCTACTTTCATGATATTTCCACGACATATATGAACCCATGGTGAAAATATATATGGTGTGCTACTCAGTTATCTTGAATTCTTCTTTTCTGCGCATAACGTTATTGCGAGTCTATACTCGCACCAAAATGATCACGGCAACTCAGGCGAACTGATAACTGTGAGCTCAGACTGCGAGCACACCATACTGATTCCACCATGTTTGAACCTGTCATTTCCTGCGATATCAGAACCAATCAGAATGGTGTTGCTCGAGAGTATATGCTGCTTTTTCTTTCGAGCCGGTAAACCACGTTTTCACGGCAACCACGAATCTGAATTGACCGTCATCTTGTCACCTGGTATGATATCGACATGACAGTTTTATGGAGATTGTGGAATTATCGCAATAAATACAATTCGCGCCCACATTTCTATCGAAAATTCTGTCAGAAATCTCGAACTCGATCAAATTGCTTCGAGGCAACACCACTTGGACAGCGAACTCTTTGCTTTACCCAAGTCACTGGATGGTATTAATCAGATAAGAGTTCGGGCACAGCTGAACTTCTGTCCTTTTCTATGTTCTATTTCACAATGGTTTGAGCGAATGAAGGAATAAGACATATATTCTGCTCTTTGTCTT